CCCCAAAACCCCAAAACCCCAAAACCCCTTAATAAAATGCGAGAAATGAATTATTAAAAAGTAAAAATGGAACCTAACTATACAAATAAGCTAGATCTCCTTACGTCCAAATCACTCGTCTTTAATCTACAACAGGACGAAACAGACGAACTCACCGAACTCCTGAAGCAAGAAGAACACTTCAACACATACTCTCCAAAAATCCTCCAAAAAATGTCGGACTTAATCAAAAAAGAACCTCGGATAATTTTTACCCAAATAAAAAAGCCTCCAATAAAATTAAAACTCTCTGATACTTTAGAATTCCGGCCTCTAGTCGGATTCGAGCAGGAATACTACTTTGGCCAATGGAACACCACCACCAATTGAAGGGAAGGAATAGGACTCTGAATTTTCCCAGATGGAAGGGTCTACCAAGGACTGTGGGAAAGTGATTACCCTAATGGAGAAGGAATTATTGTGAACCCAGACTGAAAGGTTTATAAAGGATGGGTTAGGAATGGAATTCAGCATGGAAAAGGGATTCAGATTGCGTTTTGGGGAAGATGAGAGGGTTTAGAAAGGGGAAGGAGGATTGATCAGGATTTGGGAGTCACTGGGATCGGTGTGAGAGAGAAGTATGAGGGGGATTTTTTGGATGGTATGTGGGAAGGATTTGGCAGTTATCAGCATGTGATAAGAGGATGTTATGAAGGGGAATTCAAAGAAAATAGGATTCATGGGTACGGGCACCAGATTTGAAAGAACGGAGATCAGTATTTTGGTTATAATAAGAGTAATAAGAAGAATGGCTTTGGGGTGTTTTTAAGACCTGATGGCCGGATTTTTGAAGGACAGTGGCATGATGGGTATCCTGAAACTGGCACATTTACTGATACAACTGGTAAAGAGTACAAGAGCACTAATGAATCAAAAGATCCTGAAATTTTCTATCGACTCTACGATCACAACGAATACTAAAAATTCTTTCTACTTTCCTAAAGCCACTCATATTTATCTCAATTTGACAAATAAAAGGCCTTCTGACTGATTTTCTTTTGCACATGCCAATTGTTACTGAATTTCTGTGAAAAGTTCGCATTGATTTGTAGGCTAAAATTGTTGTAGATTTTATTTTAGCTTGAGTTCTTTTTAGGCTAGCTCATAAGGTCTCAGCTGGTTATAGATTCAATATTTATTTTGAATTTTGGGGTTTTGGGGTTTTGGGGTTTTGGGGTTTTGGGG